TTTAAGGTTCTAGGCTTGGGGAGCCCACCCCGGGCCCTTTTAAAGCCGGTGGCCCTAAACCCCCAAATATCCCCCGCCCAAAAGGGTGGGGGGGGGAATTCTGGGAGTTGAAGTCCACAGGTCTTAAAGTAGCCAAGGTTGAGCATCACTGTTCTAGTTCATTACGAACCAGGAGCCCTGTCTCTGCCTGGCCTACCTCCAGGGCCGTTGTAGAGATAAAACAAGCAATCCTGGTTTGTCATCTCAGTCCTGCAGCTCAGAAAAGTTTCATAAAAGACACCCTATGAGCAGAAATCATTCATCGGGCGCCTGGGTTTTTCTTCCAGATCATTTAAAACATAGGGAGGGCCGAGAACGTTTCTGGAGGTCGCCTCTCGCGGCTCCCTCCAGCCAACGTCCGGCTCGCGTCCTGCCCCGATTCAAAATGACTGAGGGGTGGGCGATGTCGAACCCTCAGCCTAATATCTGCACGGGGGGCTGGCGTTTGCCCCCCTCTTTGTCGCCCCCGCAGCAACCCTTGGTCCAAGTGGCAACGTGGTGCCTGGGCGAGTACGGCCACTTCCTGCTGGAGGGGCACTGCGACGAGGTGGAGCCGCGGCAGGTGAGGTCTCCGAAATCCCACGGGGAAGGTCGGCGGAGGGGACAATGGTCCTCTGAGCTCCGCATCCTTTTTTTGGGCCTTTCAGGTGGATGCCGAAGAGGTGCTGACTCTGCTGGAACGCATCCTCCAATCTCAACTTTCCCTGCCCGCCACCCGGGGCTATGCCCTCACTGCCCTCATGAAGCTTGGCACGCGCCTCCAGGATGGGGACATCAAGTGAGGCTGGGGAAGAAAGCACCCCGTTTTAATGACGCGGCAGATCAAAACCGGGGTGCGCTTTTGCAGGTCCCTGGTTGTGCGGCGTTTTGCAACTCCCTTGCGCTTCGCCCTGCCCCTCGTTTTCCGAATCGACTGATTGCAAGCCTGGCTTGGTCCGGCCTGTGCAATGGGTTGGGCCCCCTACTCCCATAATCCCCAGCTGGTGGGGGATTATGGGAGTCAAAGCCCAACCCCTTCAGAAAAAAGCTGGGTGGGCGGAAGGGGCTTGCAAGGGACTGCCGTCTCCGAAATGAAAATTTGGGTGGGTTGAAACAGGTTTAAGCTTGCGGGAGAGTCATGCTCTGGTGGGAGATTCGCCTCTTCCAGACCAATAATGGGCTCTGATAGGTATTCCAGCGGAGCACAAGACTTCACTTCCAAAATATTCTGGGTTTCCAGGAAAGTGGCCAGCGGTGGTCCCTGGAAAAATCTGGATCCCTCCAAAGCAAATGTTTAAATCAGGGTTTCTCAAAATGCGGTCAGTGGCCCAGTCCTGGCCCTTATAAAACCCCCCTCTGAAGTTCTTAGAAAATATGCCAATAATTGCCCTCGTTGCCTGAAAGCCGAGAAAAAAGGAAAGAAGTCTGCAAAACAGACCGGTCCAGGGAAAAACAATTCTCCGCTTATTTGCGGACCCCTGCTTTCAATGTAGTTTGAGGGCCTGCTTAAACATTAAAATTGCATTTAGGTGTTTGCTCTCTTTCCCTCTCCCTTCCAAACCTTGCCCCGAGAATTTGTTTGGCTTTTAGAAAAGGGGTATGAAATATATAATAAAGAATGCTACCTGTCCTAAGTTTTGTAGGATGCTGGGCGTTTTCAAAATACAAACGTTCTTCCTTTTTTCAACAGATTAGCACAGGAAGAGGTTTTCTATATGAAGATTCCCTCCTGTGCAGAGACTTACAACTAGTGAACATATCACACGGGTGTGGCATATCTGCGCACTAACAATCTACGCCAGTGTTTCTCAACCTGGGCCGCTTTAAGACGTGTGGACTTCAACTCCCAGAATTCCCCAGCCAGCAAGGCTG